CGCTCGCATAACTTCCTTCTACATAATCAATAAGACTCTTCTTTAAACGTTGTTTATGACATATGTTAAAATAGCCGCGGTAAATTGGTGTGCTTGTTCGCTTTTCTCCCACACCTAAATTGTTCCATTATACCTACATACAATATGGTGGATAATAGCTCGTTGGCTACGAAAACATTGGTCCCCAGTAGAGTCGAAAACAACGCTGAGTATAGACGGGAGTAGGGAAGGAAGCCGTAGCAGCTGAAATTTCGCGCTCGCTTTGACAGAGCATCATGGGTGCATAGTTAAGGTTGCTCTTTACTTCTACCTACGCGCATTTTGATGTCTTGAAAAGATGACTCGCGCCGGCAGAGCGCCGAGGCCCCGCTTCGCATACTTATGCCCTCATCCACTTGCCAATTGTTAGCGCCTCCTAGCCCGCAATTGCCGTCACTATGCTTCATACAATCATAAAGTCTGATTATTTAATTTAGAGCTGCTGAAGCCAAACCACTCCCGCTTGTTCACGTTCTATTAATACATTCCCGAAACATAACCCTGTCGTTCGAGCCGCACTTATCGCGTAGACTGCGGTACATCGACAGTTCCGTAAGCAGCGAATCTTACCGGAACAATACATCGAACTCGTCCGATTCGATAAACCGCTACCAAGACTCTGCAGACGGATGTATGCTCGGTTCGGAGCCTGAGCCGCCGCTGCTCTCGCGGATCGTCGGAGTTCCACCGCCTCCGCCGCCTCGGGCACCTTCGACAGCTTTACTACTACGTCGACCATCGACGTCCACACCTAAGCCGCTGCAAAAACAACAACAGCAACCGAAACGTGGCGACTCTAAAAGCAAATACGGCGACAGCCCCTATAAGGAAGAGCAGGCATATGTTCGCATACGTTGTTTTTCATGTTTGAGTGAATGAGAAAGTTGGTGTAAAGTGAGGTGCATTCACTGAGGCAAAAAAGCATTGAGAATAAACGGAAGTTGCAAACGATTAATAAGTGGCATTTCAGCGAACTCCACTAGAAAAAGCTCGTCATCTCGACAATCTTCCGTCGTATCAGGTGAGCTGACAACATATTGTGTTATCTCTTGGTTTGCTTATTGGCAATCCAAGATCTGCAATCCATAGTAGTCCCAACTAATAAGAT